CCGAGCATTCATCGCAATCGCCGCCGCATGGGATTTGCAAACCAAGTTGCGGGTTGGTGGGTGGGATGTTTGCGCGAGCAGTGGAGTGGACAATTTCCAATTGAGCAATGGTGGATTGCACCGCATCTATTACACCGCGTAAATTACATTACGTAGGTCGCACCGCGTAGATTGCACCACGTAGATTGCAACAGTGCGTTGCGCAGGTTGCATCGCATACGTTGCCCTGTTTATATCGCACCGCACAGAATGCTAGATATTATCGTTTGGGGTCCATGCTGGCTAACACGAATGTGTGTGTATGTATGTATATGTATGTATGTATGTACGTACGTACGTACGTACGTATGTATGTATGTATGTATGTGTGCGTATGTGTGTATGTATAGATGCAGGTGTGTAAATGTATGTATACAAACCATGTGTATATATACATACACGGATGCTGTTAAGACTAGTTTCCCCTAGCCTGCCAGGAAAAACCCGCGCCGGGCGAGCCTGTGGCGGCATGCGCTTGCAAGGAAGGAAGGAGGAGGAGGAGGAGGAGGAGGAGGAGGAGGAGGAGGGGGAGGAGGAGAAGGCTTTGCTTGGACAGCCCGGGGAGACCAACCAGGTCAAGCCTGGCCACATCATCGGCTCAGATCACATGGGTGAGCCAAGCTTCGCGACAATCGTGAGATAACTTCCTTTCCAGCTTTGATGGGTTGACGTCGTTCCGCCCCCCTGGCGCCGCCGGAGGTCACGAGCACCCCCATGAAGCAGGAGGGCTGGAAGCTCACGGAGGCTCGGCCGCAAAGGGTGGGGGGAGGGGGTACAGCCGCCCGCCGGCGGTTGCCCGCTCGTTTGCGGCAGCCTGCCGAGGATGCCGGCGAGGCAGTCAACAGCTCTCTGGAGCCAGAGGGGGCCTCGGGCCGGGGCGTGGTCAGGGCAGATCTCTCCTCAGCTGCTCCCCGCTCGGGGGTGGGGGTAGGGGGCTCTGGCCCTGGATCCGCCAGCCTGCACCAGGACACGCTGCCGTCCGTTAGCCAGCCAAGAGCAAGGCCCCCTCCTCCTACTCCTCCTCCCCCTCTTCCTCCTCCTCCTCCTCCTCCTCCTTCTCCTTCTCCTCCTCCTCCTCCTCCTCCTCCTCCTCCTCCTCCTCCTCCCCGTTCCGTTCCTTTTGCTTCTGCCGCTTCTCCTCTTCGTCCTTTTCTTCCTCCAACTGCTCCTCCTGCTTCTCATGCTTCTCACTCACACTACTCCTCCTGCGCCTCCTCCGACTGCTGTACTGCTCCTTCTCCTGTCCCTGCTCCTCCTCCGACTCCTATTACGCCTCCTCCTACTCCTCTTTGGGCGTGTTTCATTCGATATTTTTTTTTATGTTGCGCAGTCTTTCGTCTCTCAGTTCTGAGTCCATTCGCACTTCCGGATCCGACGAGGTCTGGAGATAGAAGTGATTATGCGGAGGGGGGGAGGAGGAGCAGGGAGAAGGGAGGGGGAAGGAACAGGAGGAGGACGACGAGGAGCAGGTGGAGGATGAGCGAGTGGGGTAGTATGAGGTGGAGGAGGAGGAGGCTGGGGATATTGGTGGTGGTGCTGATGATCATGGTGGTGATGGTGATCCTGACAGTGATAGCGATGATGATGGTGATGGTGATAGTGATGGTGCTGGTGATGGCGATGATGACGGACGATAGTCATGAGGATGATGATCATAATAATGGTTTTGGTGATGGTGATGGTGGTGATGGTGGTGATGGTGGTGATAGTGATGATGGTGATGATGGTGATGATGGTGATGATGGTGATGGCGATGATGATGGCGATGATGATGATAATGTTGATGACGATGATGATGAGGACGATGATGACGATCATGATAATGAGAATGGTGGTGATGGTGCTGGTGATTTGATGATGCTTAGTATTGATTTCAATACGAATATGTAACATGTGTCGTCTTCTCACTGTTGCCCTGGTTATTATTGTTCTAGTATTATGTTGAATATTATTACCAATGTGATTGACAACATTAGTACCATTAGTATTAGCACTATCACCTTTATTATTCTTCATTTATCGTAAGTATTAGTATTGTTCTTACTCGTGCCATTCGTATTCCCAACCATCCTGTCGTGTTGGGTCCTCGTCTTGAAGAGACAGCGCCCCGCGTCTCCTTCCTGTCCTCTCCTATCCTCTCCTCTCCTCTCCTCCTCCCCCTCCTCTCGCTCCTCCCTCCTCCCCCCTCACACCAGCATCAGCATCATCAGCATCATCATCATCACCATCATCAAACTCGTCACCAATATCGTAATCACCATCTTCAGCACGATTTCGGCCGTCATCATCACCATCATCGTCATCGTTCCCCGCCCATTCCTGCACGCCAACACCCGGTTCGTTGCCCCAGAGGGGGCTCCACCGAAGGCCACAGCGGCAGGGTTCGCACGCAATTCCACCCTCATTTTGGTTCACCCCTCGCACGGTTCTTGGCCCTGGGGAGCTAAACAGAAGGCCCCAGCGGCAGGGTTCGCATGCAGTTCCACTTCATTCCGGCGCACCCATCACACGGTTCGTGGCCCCAGAGGAAGCTCCATCAATGGCCCTAGTGGCAGGGTTCGCATGCAGTTCCACCCTCATCTCGGCGCACCCCTCACACGGTTCGTGGCCCCATAGGGAGCTCCACCGAATGTTTTAGCGCCAGGGTTCGCATGCAGTTCCATCCTCATTCCGGCGCACCCCTCACACGGATCGTGGCCCCATTGGGAGCTCCATCGAAGGCCCCAGTGGCAGGGTTCGCATGCAGTTCCACCTTCATTTCGGCGCACCCCTCACACGGTCCGTGGCCCCATAGGGAGCTCCACCGAAGGCCACAGCGGCAGGGTTCGCTACAGTTCTGGCCTCATTTCGGCGCACCCCGTTCACGGCTCGTGGCCCCAGAGGGAGCACCACGGAAGGTCTCAGTGCCAGTGTTCGCATGCAGTTCCATCCTCATTTCGGCGCACCCCTCACACGGCTCGTGGCCCCATGGGGAGCTACACCGAAGGCCACAGCGGCAGGGCTCGCATGCAGTTCCGCCCTTATGTCGGTGCCCCTCTCACACGGTTCGTGACCCCATAGGGAGCTCCACCGAAGGCCATATTTGCAGGGTTCGCATGCAGTTCCAACCTCATCTCGGCGCACCCATCACACGGTTCGTGGCCCCAGAGGGAGTTCCACCGAATGTCTCAGTGGCAGGGTTCGCATGCAGTTCCGCCTTCATTTCGGCGCACCCCTCACACGGTTCGTGGAGGGAGCTCCACCAAAAACGAGATTCGCAATTGCGGCACCCACAATTGCATATGGTTGGGTCTTTCGCCAGGCGAAGTTTGGCTTTATTCATCGTATTAGCGTTTCGATTGCTGTGGTTATGATGATGGTCATGATTAAGATTATTGCTGTGATTGTCATCATCATGGTGCCGATGGTGATGATGATGCTGATGTTGCTGCTGGAGCTGGTGCTGATGCTGGTGCTGCTGCTGAGGAGGAGGAGGAAGAGGAGGAGGAGGAGGAGGAGGAGGGGGAGGAAGTGGAGAAAGAGAAGGACGAAGGGGAGGAGCAGCAGCAGCTGCAGGAGGAGCCCGCGCGTGCGCGCGCCCCTGGCAGGAGGGCGAGGAGTACAGCAAGAAGGGGAGCCCCGAGGCCCAGGTCTTCGATCTCATCAAGTCGAAGGGGTCGCGCCCGCGCCCTTTTCGTCGTCGTCGTCGCCCTCGTCGTCGTCGGCGTCGTCGTCGTCGTCGCCCTCGTCGTCGTCGTCGTCGTCGTCGTCGTCGCCGTCGTCGTCGTCGTCGTCGTCGGCGTCGGCGTCGGCGTCGACGTCGGCGTCGGCGTCGGCGTCGTCGTCGGCGTCGGTGTCGTCGTCGTCGTCGTCGTCGTCGTCGTCGTCGTCGTCGGCGTCGGCGTCGGCGTCGGCGTCGGCGTCGGCGTCTGTGTTCTGTGCGTGCATTGAGTACGGGCCCGTCGCGTCTGACCACCATCGAGTCAGCCCGCATAACAGCAAGGATGAGCGACTTTCCAAGGTTGCCTCTGCATCCTTCCTCTTCGGCCCATCCTTCGCCGCTTTCGCTGGCCGAGCCCCGCTCGCAAAGTGTCGACACGGCCTTCCAAGGCCGTTTCATCCTCATCGTGCGTCCTTGTTATACGGGTCGATTGTACATCGTGAAGACGATTGGGCACTGGAAGAAGGGATGTGCAAGATAACGGTAAAAGGATAGGGGCCCCTGATGGGCTGGAGTTCGGTACCGCGTGCAATAAGGTCAAGAGCTCCCCTCATCCCACCCCAGATCATCGCCCCATCACAACAAGTCTCGAACGTGTTGCGACGATTGACGTCGCTGCTCTGTCGCTGCAAGTGTAGCCGCCTGCCACCCTGGGCCCCGGCCCTCAGCTCGCTTCGGAATGGGCGCCGAATCAGCTGGATGCGAAAACTGGATCGACTGGATGCGAAAACCTGGATCAACTGGATCGAGCGTGCTCGGTGTCCGAGGACCGGGCCCCCGTGCTGCACCCATCGGCAGGGCGCGCCCAGGGGGGGGAGGAGGAGGAGGAGGAGGAGGAGGAGGAGGAGGAGGAGGAGGAGGAGGAGGAGGAGGAGGAGGAGGAGGAGGAGGAGGGAGGAGGAGGAGGAGGAGGAGGGGGGGAAGAGGATCAACTGGATCAACTGGATGCGGCAACTGCAGGGCAACGGCCATTGCAGGCGGGCGGCTCGCCGGGACGGCAGCCGCGGCGTCAGAGCTAGGCTCGCCCCTCGGAGTGCCGGGTGCCTCGCCGCGCTGCGCACGAGGCAGCAGCACCCGCAGCGGGCCGGGGCGAAGAAGAAGAAGGACAACGAGGGGCACGGACGACGACGACGACGACGACGACGACGACAACGACGACGACGACTTCGACGAAGAGGCCGTGCGCACGGCCGACGACCGACGCGCGTCCGCGGGCGCTCGCGGGTGCCCCGGCGGCCGCCCGAGAGCGCACGCGAGCGCCTGGGAGCGCCTGCACGCTGGCGCCTGGGAGTCTCTTGCTCCTCCTCCTCCTCCTCCTCCTCCTCCTCCTCCTCCTCCTCCTCCTCCTCCTCCACCCCCCCCTCCCCCCGTACCCCACCCTCCCCCTCTCCCTCCCCCCTCCCGGGGGGACTCGGAAGAGGGGAGGTGCAGATCTTTCTTTGGAGAGTCGCGTTGCACGGCATGGTCTTCAAGGGGCCTCCACAAGTTCTCCTCGGAGAGAATCGTAGGATTTGCAGTCTCGCTTTACGCGGGCAAAGATAAACTTCTTGTTTTTCGTGCTGGCGTATCGTCTGCATTAATTTTATCATTAAGATAATTTGAGTTCCGACTGTTGCGTTCTATTTGTTGTAGTTTTATTCAAATGATTGCAAAGCGCAGCCCGGCATAATAATTCCGCATTGGTGACACGACGATTCGCCGCCATCTTTTCACGGGGAGTTCTAATTGATTTGCATTCGTTGTTTGCTTCGCCGCCCTCGCCGCCGTTTTTTTCGATACGTCAGTTACTGTTTCAGTTTTTTTCTCCGCCGCCCGCTAATTCTCTGATGTGGAGTATGTTTTATCGCTTCCGGTGCGATCTGGCCGAAGCCAGAAGTTACAAAAGCACACGCAAAAGGAGGAGGAGGAGGAGGATGAGCAGGAGGAGAAACAATAAGAAGAGGAGGAAGAGGAGGAGGAGGAGGAGGAGGAGGAGCAGGGGAGAGGATAGAGAGCGCGAGGGAGCGAGGGAGCGCGGCTCGCGCGTGCGCACACCAACGAAGCCGTTGACCGCTGGCACTCGCACGGATGCCCCCACGAGCGCGGCCCCGCGGGGGCGGCGGAGAGAAGAACAGCACGAGCTCAAATGGTGGAGACGCGGCGACGGCGGCATCGGCAAGGACGGAGGGAGAGCGCGGCGACGGCGGCATCGGCAAGGACGGAGAAAGAGAGAGAGAGAGAGAGAAAAACAAAAACAAAAAAAAGGAGAGAGATGGGGAATTGGAATCGCTCGGGCGTGCGCACCTCTTCTCGGCGGGGACCATCGAGGAGCATCTTGGAGCATCCTGCAAAAACATGTGCGCGCGCGAAACCGAAACGCGCACAGGGAGTGGACGTCCGCGCGCTGGCGAGGACACAGTGGAGGCCCATGCCAAGAAACACCCTGCTTGCCTCCAGGGTGCCCTGGGTTTCTTGGGCTTCGATGGTCTTGCGATGGAGAGCGCGATGTTCCCACGCCAAAAATCTATGTACGCCCTGGGGTCTCAGGGTTGGGTTTCTTGTGGGGGGTTTCTTGTGGATCGGCCCCCACCCACGCCTTGGTCGACAGGCGACCACTTCGGCAGCCGAGACGTTTCGAGCGGGGGGAAAGCTCTCTTGCCCTCCACATTCTTTCGCCCCAAGCTCCAGGTTGGTTCCCAGTTCAGGGCTCTCAGATCCAGAGACGCCGCTACAGATGGCGCAATGGGCAGCGACCTGGACGTGCAATCGCGGGCAGCAGAACTGGCTGCTGGTCACTAATTGCAGCGAGTGCAGTACGGACTGGAAGGCCTCAGCTGGACGAGAACCGAGTGGCAAGCCAGACAGACGACGCCAGCGGTCCAACAGTCAGAAGAGTATCGATTCGAGGCCTTGGGAGGACGAGGAGGAGGTGATCAAAGGACCGCCCTTCGTCAGGATGGCCACTCCAGCGGAGGCTCACGCCAACCCCAACTACAAGCCTTTGTCTCCCAAGGCCGACGAGAGCGGGAAAAAACCTACTACAAAGAGACGAGGTCCAAGCTCAACCTGCTCCAGGAGAGATACAATATCGCCTGGGCCAGGGAAAACCAGTGCAGGATATTGTCGATCAGATCGCGGTTCTACGCAGAATGATGATTTCAGAAAATCATTGGAGCAGCAGGGTGCGTGGATAGAGACTACCATTGCGAGGATGATGCTACGAGTAGGTGCTGCCAACAAGCCAGTGGATATCCAACATAGTATATTGGACAGATAAGTATCAATACTAGTCACTCGTCAGGACAAGTCGAGGCCTTGCGTCGCACCAAGAACGAGATCCGAGCCATGATCCAAGAAGAACAATACTAGTAATTACATATTGCCCACGAGCAGGGCCGCGCAGGAGGAAACGAAGTGCACCACACCTCCAGAACAGCAGCAAGAGGTTCAACATCAGATAGCGTGCCACATTCAGCCAGCCTCGGCATCGGCTCCCCATAGCTTCGCATCGGGCTGGGAGGGTGCCCAGGGTGCCATTACGTGTTCCTCCTCCTCATCCCCTCCGCCCCTCATTCCTCCAGTATCGTTTCACCGATCCCCATCCCTACTGTGCCATGGGATCTCAGCCCCGCCATCCCACCCCCCAAGTTCAGGCCCCTCGGAACCCGAAGGGAACAGCCCCTATGGAGGCAAGCCTGCCAGGGGGGCCGAGGCCATGCCAGTGGGGGCAGGGGGCATCGCTCAAACGAGGCACCCCCCCCCTCTCCTTTTCGGGTGTTGCTAGAAGTGCCCCTGGCCCGAGGTGCCCCCAGGATTTCCAAGGAGGCCCTCACGGCCTCCAGAGTACCCTTCACGAGGTCCAGAGGGCCCCAGGGGCTCCACAACTGAGCGGAAAGCTGGGGGTACCTTTGGCCAGGGGCGCCTCTGGCAGCCCTCTCCCCCTCCCTCGTCGAAGGCTCGAGCCCGCCGCTTCTGCTCGGGCCCTCCCAGGTCCGGGGAGGAGGATGAGGAGGAGGAGGAGGAGGAGGCGGAGGAGGAGGGGGAGGAGGAGGAGGAGGAGGAGGAGGAGGAGGAGGAGGCGGAGGAGGAGGGGGAGGAGGCGGAGGCGGAGGCGGAGGGCAGGAGGGAGGAGGAGGCTGAGGAGGAGGAGCGGAGGTGGAAGGAGGCGGCGAGGGGGGCGGAGGCGGAGGGCGGAGGAGGAGGAGAGGAGAGGTAGGAGGCGGCGGCGGAGGAGGATGAGGAGGAGGAGGGAGGAGGGGGAGAGGAGGGGGTGGAGGCGGAGGCGGAGGCGGAGGCGGAGGCGGAGGCGGAGGAGGAGGAGGAGGAGGAGGAGGAGGCGGAGGAGGCGGAGGAGGAGGGGGAGGAGGAGGAGGCGGAGGCGGAGGCGGAGGCGGAGGAGGAGAACCAGTTCAAACCCAAGAGTCATCAACGATATTGGAATGAACCCTCTCTCCGAGCTCCCTCTTTATAGGCCCCTACAACGGATCATTTCCAGTGAGGGAGCTGCCTCGTTGGAAGACAACCTTTTGAAGAGTTTGAAACATGCCAAAACATGGTTCTCAGCATTTCCTCGCCACGGACCAACCTGACTGCTGCGCCCTGACGACTTGGAATCGCGCTTGAACGCCATTCTTGGGACTTCAACACCGCGAATCCACATACTTGCTGCGCCCGCATAATCCTGAATCCTTCCAACACGCCACTTCTGGTACGATGATGCTGGGAATCCGTGAAACGGTTGCAAACGCAACTGCTTAAAACGAGTGTGCGCGGCTTTCAAGCGAGAACCTCAGTTTGGACAGGAACCGCCTTCCATCCGTGAAACTCTTGAACTGTTTAGAACGAATGTGCGCGGCGCTAAGGCGAGAGCAACAGTTCCACATTTTGAACACCACCCGCCCTCCGTCTATGAAAGTGTTGCTTCAGAGTCATAAGTGGTGAGGAAGTCTCATGCGAAACGTCCAGCCCGCCCTCTAAGCTGGCCGCGGGGTGCGACAGGGAGAAGTTATGTTTAAGGAAAAGGAGAGGAGGAGGAGGAGGAGGAGGAGGAGGAGGAGGAGGAGGAGGAGGAGGAGGAAGAGGCGGAGGAGGAGGACGAGGCGGAGGAGGAGGAGTCACGACCTCGAGAGCAGAGCTGTGCGCAGTCGTGCCATTCATGACGTTGCGCCTCCCTCCCTCGGAGGGGTGGGCCGTATCCCGTGGCACACCCCTGCCTGCTTGTGCGATCTCACCCGCCCGAGGTGTCCGTTCTCTCTTCCCGCCGGCCCTGAGCCCCCGGGCGCGCGCCTGGATCCGCAGCCTTTGGTCGCCCTCCCTGCCAGGTCCCTGGCCCCGGGGGACCTCGCCACCGAGCTCGGCGAGGTCGGGAAGGTCGGCCAGGAGACCCGCCTTTCTGCTCCGCCCGGGGCGTTCGGGCGCTCGGCCGTCGATCGCTCGCGGCACGACTGCACGGGCTCCTGCTTCCCCGGGGGGGGGGAGGGGGCGTTCCCTGAAGGAAGGTTCCGTCGAGCACAGCAGGAAGTGGGGGAGGAAGAAGAGGAGGAGGAGGAGGAGGAGGAGGATGCCGGGATGAGGGGATGGCGGAGGTGTGAGGAGGAGAGGGGCGGCGAGGCGAAAAGGCGGAGGCGGAGGGGTGAGGAGGGGTGGGGCGTAAGGAGGAGAGGATGGGAGATGAGGAGGACGGCAGGAGGAGGAGGAGGAGGAGGAGGAGCAGGAGAGGAGGGAAAAAAACAAAGGAGGGGAGTGAGATTAGGCGGAGGAAAGGATGAGGAGTAGGAGGAGGAGGAGGAGGAAGGAGGAAGGAGAAGGATAAGGAGGAGGATAGTGAGGAATTGGAGAGTGAGGGAGTGAGGAGTGAGGAGTTAGAAGGAGGAGGAAGAGGAGGAGGAGGAGGAGGAGGGAGGGCAGGATGAGCGATGGAGAGGAGGAGAGGAAAGGAGAAGTGGGAACGAGAGGATGAAGGAGGAGGAGGAGGAGGAGGAGGAGGAGGAGGAGGAGGAGGGAGAAGATGTGGGGAGGAGGAGGCAAGGAAGGAGTGAGGGGGTGGGGGGAGGGGGGAGGGGGCGAGGAGGAGTTTCGCACGAGGAGGAGGAGGAGGAGGAGGAGGAGGGAGGAGGAGTGGATGAGGCTGAGGAGGACTATTCTATAGTAGGCAAAACTAGATGTGATCAGGATATTCGGAGGAGGAGGGAACTAGGAGGATGAGGAGGAGCAAAGTAGGAGGATGTTGATGAATAAGATTATTAGTAGGAGGTAGGGGGATGAGAAGTACTTGATGAGGAGGAGCATGATTGACGAGGGAAGATGAGGGATGATGAGTACGAGGATTAGTATGAGGACGAGGTATGAGATTAGAGAGGAGGAGTGTATGATTGGAGAGTTGGTTAAGGATTCGTGTGCAGAGGTTCGTTTGTCCGGATGTTTGGCATGCAGCTAGGATCAAGGCGGGGCAGGAGGCCGGACCTGGGTACCCTCACGCTCCAAAAAAGATGCAAAGGTATATCCGGCACAGGCCTGCGAAAATAGAAAAAAAAATAATAAGGGGAGGAGGCAGACGGCCGCGCTAGCGGACTGGTCGCGACCCACAGGTCTGGGGGCGCAGGGCTCGGTCGACGAGGACGAGGAGGAAGACGAGGAGGAGGAGCAGGAGCAGAGGAAGAGGAGGAGGAGGAGGAGGAGGAGGAGGAGGAGGAGGAGGAGGAGGAGGAGCAGAGAGAGATGGCGGAGGAGGAGGAGGAGGAGGAGTCCACAGGGTTCTGCATGCCAGACCTTCCGAGGTTCGGAACACGAGTCTCGGCGGCGATGGGTGAGACCGGCCCCGCCCCCAGGCCTGTCCTGGGCGAACGAGTCTGATCTCCAAAGTTTTAGGGAGGATGGAGGGGGCACGGTGGAAACGCATGCCAAGAAACACCCTACTTGCCTCCAGGGTGCCCTGGGTCTCTTGGGCTTCGATGGTGCGATGGAGAGCGTGACGTTCCCACACCACAGATCACTGGACGCCCTCGGGTTTCAGGGTTGGGTTTCTCGTGGAAGGTGTCTTGTGGTCGAGCTCCTACTGTAGGAGGGAGGAGGGGCGAGCGGGCTGGAGGCAGCCGGATCATGCCCCACCTCTTGCCGCCCTGTCTGTTCTGGCCTGGCGGGTAAGTGAAGTCTCTCGCTGCGGCCCTTGGGCCGATTCGACGGACGAGTGGTCGAGCTTCTTCGTCGCGGGTGGGGGAGTGCCATGCTCAGCCTGTCCCCTCGAGCGTCTCCTCTTGGAATTCCTCGTCTGCCCGTTCTAGATTTAGAAATCATTAGTTCTGCAGGGCGCGGCAATCAAGAACAAGTGGGTGGAGATGGACAAGGCCACGAAGACGCTCAAGCCAGCCACAGATAGCATAGAGGACACGATCAAGCAGGATTTACTTTCGCTGGGGGGATTGGCCAAGGACAAGCTGGATGCCCTTAAGAAGCGGAAGATGATTGCTCCCACCAGCCTCACGGCCTACAAGGTTGAGAAGTCGGCAGAGTTCTCCATGGATGCCGCCAAGGCAGTTGCAGAGATCACAGCCGAGATGATCCAGAAGGGTACTTGGGCTAGCGCCAAGTTCAAGAGCTTTAATTTCAACAACGCTAGCGGCTTGCATGCCGGCGGCGGCCATTTGCACCCACTCCAGAAGGTGAAGACGGAGATTCGAAATGTCTTGATGCTCATGGGTTTCGAAGAGATGTGCACCAACCAGTGGGTGGAGAGCTCGTTCTGGAACTTCGACTCCCTCTTCCAGCCACAGCAGCATCCTGCTCGCGACGCGCATGACACTTTCTTTATGCAGAACCCGAGCCGGGCACAGGACCTGCCCATGGATTACCTCAACTCCGTGAAGAAGATGCACGAGGAGGGTGGCAGCGGCTCCATCGGCTGGCGTTATGCGTGGAGCGAAGACGAGGCCAGAAAGACGATCCTCCGCACCCACACGACAGCCGTCTCCGCGAGAACCCTGTACAAATTGGGCCAGGACTATAAGAAGACAGGGGTATTCACTCCCAAGAAGTACTTCTCGATCGATCGCGTCTTCAGAAACGAGACACTCGACAAGACACACCTGGCGGAGTTTCACCAGGTGGAGGGGTTCATTGCAGATAGGAACATCGGCCTTGGACATCTGATTGGCGTGCTGAAGGACTTCTTCGCCAGGGTTGGGTTCGCCAAGCTCCGCTTCAAGCCAGCCTACAATCCTTATACCGAGCCTTCGATGGAGATCTTCGGCTTTCATCCAACTTTGGAGAAGTGGATTGAGGTTGGGAACAGTGGTGTCTTCCGCCCAGAGATGATTGCACCGATGGGCATTCCAGAAGATGTGTCTGTCATCGCATGGGGCATTGGCGTGGAGAGATGGGCTGCACTGCTCTACAATGTGGAGAGCATCAAAGAGCTCTTCAGCTTCCAGCAGGATCTTGATGCGTCTAAGAGGAATCCACTCTGCTGGCTGAAGCGGGTTGAGGTCGAGGAGTGAATGAATGATGGCATGCCTTCGCGTCCGGTCCAAGTTTCGATGCTTTTTTGTGCCTGACATGACATCCCCTTCTTGAGCCCCCTGCACTGTGCTGCAGCTTGGGCGACCTAGGTTTTGGCGCGATGTTCCACGAAAGCGTCATGCTGCCACTCGTCCACTCAGAGGCTGTTTCTTAAGTCCGATGCCGAATGACCCCTTGCGTAATTCCCTATGATTTAATTCAGCAAGTGATTTGGAAACCGCGCGCCTTACAACTTGCCGGTTAACTTGGTGGACGTTCGTTTGTTAGATAATATGGGGTTCGTTAGTCTGGGGGGCAGTGGTCATTTGCCAATGTCTCTATTTTGTTCGGTCCGTGCGCCATGGCCCCGCTTGTCTCTCGCTCTCAGAACTCCTTGCGTTACGGCCCCCCGCTCGGGCTCCATCGCGAGTTTACGTGTGCTGCTAGCTCGTACCATGGTTGTGTGTGTGTGTGTGGGTGTGTTTCTGCACGTGTATGTGTGTGTGTGTGCGTGCGTGCGCGCGTGCGTGCGCGTGAATATGTGGTAAGATAGATATGTCTGATTCTGGCTTTGAATGTCGCCCTGTCGTTTAGATTGTTTTAGCTGCACCATCCGCTCGATCACCACCTCAGATTGTCTGACCTCTTCCTCTCAGTAGCTCGTCGGGGCCCGCCCGTATCCGATCGCATGAGTGCCATTTTTGTGACAGCATCATCAATGTGGATTCAATGTCCCCCACGTGTCCTCTGACTACTTGTGCGCACGACGCAGTTCTACTCTGGCTGTTCGCGAGGCGCCCACTCAACGCGCGTCGCACCCCACGGTCTCAACGAGAGCTCCGCGACGGGAAGGAACGCCTCGAAATGCAGAGGCCTGACCTTCGCGCTCTCCAGGCGCATGCAGGGCTCCCTTCCACCCTCCCTCCCGCTTCTACTCTGGCTGTGCGCAAGGCGCCCACTCGACGCGTGTCGGGAGATAGGTTGTTTCATCCGATGGCAACTCATCCGATACGACTCATCCGATCCGCGGTCCGGGTGAAACGCGACCGGATGAGTTAGTCACAGGATGAGTTAGCCTGGATGATTTAGTCACCGGATGAGTTACACCGGATGAATTAGTCAACGGATGAGTTAGGAACCGAATGAGTTTGCCACTGGGTGATTTCAGGGCTGGGTGAGTCAGGCGTCAGCCAGGTGAGGCTTTGGGTCAACGGGGGAAGGATCAGCTAGGTACCGGATGAGTTTGGCACTGGATGAGTTAGGCACCGGATGAGTTTGGCACCGGATGAGTTTGCCACTGGGTGAGTTAGGCACCAGACGCTCTTGGGGCAGTTTGGGGGGCCTCTTGTGCCCCTATTGGGGTTATCTTCGGCCGTTTTAGGGTCATATTGAGGTCCCAAGAGCCCATCGGAGGCGAAAAAACGATAAGGCCAAACACATTGAATTTCTTTAGGTTTGTGAAGGATTTCGACCTCTTGGGGGGTCCTTAGAGGGCTCGGAGGGCACTTGAAACCGAGTTTGGGCCGCCTTGAGACCTCTTGGATGTGTGTCGGAAGCTGTCTTGAGCCATCTTGAGGTATCTTGGGCGATCTTGGAGGCCATCTTGGGCCATCTAACGCCCTCTTGGAGCTATCTTGGGCCAAAAAGGACGCTCTGACACATCGCGAGGGGGCCCGTCCAGACCCAGGGAGGGGGGGGGGAGGTAAACCTCCCGAGCAGGGAAAGGAAGGAGGTTGGAAAGGGAAACGCCCTAGACCACTTGCACCCAGAGGGCTGGTGGGATTTTCCAGGACAGCCCAAGAACCCCCCAAAACTTTTCAAGACGGCCCAAGAGGCCCCCGACAGGGCCCCGAGACGCTCCAGAAGACCCCGAATTCAGCTCAAGAGCGCTCCAGGAGAGTCCGCAGCCATTTTGGTTAAACCCTCAGTGCCCATGTCGGCTCAAGCAGTCGCTCTGATCGGCCCTGGTGGCCGTCCTCGCCGTTCCACCCTTGCCGCAGCTCAGGAAGGGGTCCAAGGAGATCGGCACCAGCATGCCGACGCCCGGGAATGGCACCAGGCTCCCAGAGTTGGCAGCAACGGCAGTGACATGCCAACCATCCACGCCGGCAGGGTGTGTCGAAGACAGGAATGTTAGTTTTACCGAGGAGGTGCTCCAGCTCTTGCGACAGATCGCCAGCACGCAGGCGGAGCACCAGCACCAGGTGCTCAAGAGGCTGGACCAGCTCGGACGCTCGAACGTCGGCCCCGCTGCCATCACGAAGTACACCCAGGCGCCTGCGGCCCCGTCCCCGAGATCGGTGAGGCTGCTTTCACCATCGGAGCACGGTCCGCCATTGGAGCCGGGTCCCTCTGTCAACTCGGAGGTCCCCCGGGTCAGCGAGTTGCCGTTAGAGGTGACCACCTGCCCTCGAGGGGAGTGCGAACCCCCCGCTTCCAACCCCAGCAGCCAGCAGCATCGTACCCGTGCGGGACCAAGGTCTAGTGGCATGCTCAAGGCGTCCAAGACGAAGCGCTTTTCACTCCTCGACCACAAAAACGTAGTTCTGGAGAGGCTTGGTGCACAGGAATGCGAATCCGACGAGTGGGATGACGGAATCGCTCGGCAACTTGCTATCAATCGGCACATGAACAAGCTTCACGGCAGCGTTGGTGGTACTGGTGCTTGGGTGCGTGGGTGTTGTTTCGCTCTGCTGGCACACCCGAAGTTCGACATCAGCATGGGCACGGTGATCGTGCTCAATGCGATGATGATTGCCGTTGAGCTCACAGTCACTCCGACGGAGGAGGATGAAACTCCAGCGTCGCGGCTGGCGTTCGGGATCGCGGAGAATGTGTTTCTCAGCATCTACTTGTTGGAGCTCATTTTTCGCATTGTTGCTTGTGGTCGAGAGTGTTTGCGGAACTCGTGGGTGAGGTTCGATTTGGCCCTTGTATGTGTTGGTGTTCTTGGGTCGTGGATTGTGCCCATCATCATACTGATTGCCGGGGACGCCATTGAGAAGCTAGTGCCGAGCGCGATGTTCCTTCGTATCTTCCGCTTGGCACGTCTCGCCCGGGCGCTCCGCCTATTTGTGCAGTTTCGCACCCTTTGGATGCTAATATCCGGGCTCTTCTCGTCGCTGCCCACGATCATGAACGTATTCTTTGTCCTCCTACTGGCCCTTTTCGTGTTCGCGTGTCTGGGCGTGGAGGTGATGGCAAGCATCAGCGGGGCGGCGTCCCAAGAGATGGTGGACAACTATTTTGCCACGCTGCCTATGATCATGCTGACGCTCGTGCAGTTTGTGACCATGGACAGTGTGGCGACCATATACACGCCGATGATCAGGGAAAACGTCTGGCTCATGTTCTTCTTTCTGCCCTTCCTCCTGGTGGTGTCCGTCATCCTCATGAACCTGGTGACCGCCGTGGTCATCGAGGTGTTCTTGGACCACGCAAAGCGCGACCAGGAAACGCGCAAGATGTATAACGAGCAGCGCATGTCGGCACTGGTGCCGCAACTGAGGAAAATGTTCGAGGAGTTGGATCTGGATGACAGTGGCTGTGTCACCCTTGAGGAGTTGAATGCTGCTCCCGAGGATGTTCAGAGCGAATTGGAGAGGCTACTCAATGTGGACTCTCTCTATGATCTCTTCGAAGCTCTGGACGTGGATGGCTCAATGGAGGTGACAATAGAGGAGTTCCTGGACGGAATGACGCGGCTGACGTGCAACAACCAGTCCCTGGAGATCACACGCGTCATCAAGCTGCAGGCGCTGATCAGACAGGACCTTGCCGAGCTGAAGCACATCTGCCAGGGGAGGCACGGATTGCCCGCGCTCGGAGACGTCTTGATCACGGCCAGCAGCGCGCACCAGGTCCCTGCCACGGCCAGAAGTACGCAGCGGGGAGCCCCGAGCACAGCCAGAAGCTCGGTGCAGATGAGCATCCCGGCCGAGTGGGCGTGACTTGAGTTGGACCCGATTAGTTAACATGGGGGAACGAAGAATGCCATAAACATAATTATCCCAGTGCGACCTTACCTAGGAGTTGGAGCCCTTAGGAAAGCAGCATTAGTATTAACAGTAAAGCTAAGCTAAAGCTAAGCTAAAGCTAAGCTAAAGCTAAGCTAAAGCTAAGCTAAAGCTAAGCTAAAGCTAAGCTAAAACTAAGCTAAACCTAACTTAAATCTAAGCTAAAACTGAGATAAAGCCAAGCTAAAGCTAAGCTAAAGCTACGATAATCTAAGGTAAAGCTAAGTTAAATATAAACTAAAGCTAACATACATCTAAGCTCAAACTAAGCTACATCTAAGCTACGTCTGAGCTAAAGCTAAGCTAAAGCTGAGGTAAAGCTAAGCTAAATCTAAGCTAAAGCTAAGCTAAAGCTGAGCTAAAGCTAAGCTAAAGCTGAGCTAAAGCTAAGCTAAAGCTAAGCTAAAGCTACGCTAGAGCTAAGCTAAAGCTAAAGCTAAAGTTAAAGCTAATGCTCCCAGGGGACTCGGGGAACCGCTCCCAGGGGACCGGGGGAACCGCCCGGGGGCGATTAGCACTGCCCGGCCCCTTCAAGCAAAGAGAGTAAGAACCTCTTTTTAGGCAGAGCCTAGGTAGGGAAAAACACAGAGGTACGCGCAGATTTCTCGGATCGGCGCTGGACCCCCCTCACTGGCGCGCGGAGCGCACCAAGGGCGGCGCCGGAGGCGCCGCCAGGGGGCTCCAGCGCGGATCCGAGAAATCCGCGCGGACCTCCGAGTTTGTATTGACCTCTAATGTCATTCGTTAAAGCTCCCAGCATCCATAACAGCTTTGTCTATATGTACGCGAGCAGGTATACGAGCATGTTCACGAGAGGAGAGCGTACCGAGGCCCGCGCCTTGAAGAGTTTCCCGCAGCGCCTGCTGCCACGAGTGGTCCCCACCGGGACCAGCCGACCGGTCAGGAGATCGATTGCGGGAGGGAGGAGGGGGAGGGGGGGCGAGGAAAAGGGCGAGCTGGTGCGCTAGCGTCATGTGGAGGCTTATCGACGGCGCAATAGGGGCATCCACCACTTATTTAGTACACCTTATCCCTGGGATCTCTGAGGTTCTGGAGCCCTCGGTCTCGTCTGTCTTCTTGCATTATTGTGCATTGTATTGCATTGTATTTCACTTGGCTGCTTTCAGACAGGTGTGCGCTGGCATGTCTCCGCAAACCACGTTGTGCTGGTGAGCATTGCTTTGCTTTGCATTATGCGTACTGCATTATATTGCCCTGCCTTTCATTTGCTTTGCGAGTTTTTGCTTTCAATGCTTCTCGCTGCATGGTGCTC